CCCCAAAAAACAAACCCCCAAAACTTTTATGGTTAGTAATTATATGATTAATACTTTATGTGATTTGCATCATTTTCAATTAGATTTTGAATAAACTAAAGCACAGTACTTCTTAGTATCAGTTATTTTGTGATTATATTGCTATGACTTGAAAGAAATATGTGTAACTGTCCAAAAAGCATGTATTTATTAGAAGTAGAATCTGAAATTTTCCTTTTCCTAATTAGACTTTATAGGCTATTGCTGTAAGGATATTTAAGATGCTCATTAGTTATACGAAGTGATGCCTGTCCATTCCTTATGCAGAAATTGCTGAGTTTTCACTCATGGCCATATGTCTCTTTGGTGCAGGTAGCACTGATTGAGATGGCATTCTGAATTCCGTAGAGCAGGTGCCAATAAACTTTTTCTGTAAAGGGTCAGATAGAAAATATTTTAAACTTTTTATCCATATGGTCTCTGTTGCAACTATTCAACCCAGCAATTGTAGCATGAAAGCAGACATGGATAATATGTAAACCAGGGAATGATGCTATGTTTCAACAAAACTTTATTCATAAACACAGGTTGTGACCAGATTTGACCTGCAGGTTATAGAGGCATAAACCAGATTAGACAGTTGGCTAAAATTTCTGATTATAGCCGTTATACTCCATCTGCCCTGTGCCCCAAATAGAAAATTATAACCTGATAGGTCACAAAGATGAAACCACTTTCTATTCTGTAGAAGTGATAAAAAGCTGAAGTCATCCTTGGGGCCATCTGCATTTTCTCTTCTTTCTGCCTGAGTTCCTCTCCCCCCAGAAATATCTTGGCTCTCAAGTTCTTGTTCTGATGTCTCCTTTGCATTTATACCCTGACCACCTGACTATTTAACATTACAACTGTCCCTCTTCCCTGCTGCTCCATCACTCCTTTAAATTACTTTATTTTCTTCTGCAGGTCTCATACGCCAGATAATTTATTAATTTCATATAAGCTCTGTGGGGACAGTCTTCTCCATTGCTTTTGTTTACTACTATATCCTTAGTAGAACATTGCCTAGCACATGGTAGATGCTTAGTATTTGTTCTCGAATTGGTAAAAAACATAGCATTAGACATTATTTTTTTCTTTTAATTTTTCTAACAGTATTTAAAAAAATTATAGGGATTTTGTAATACAAAGTACTGAAATCAGCACTATATTTAGTATATGAAAATCTGCAGGTGTCATTGATAGCACTGGTATGCATTAGCAGAGCAGTGAACCGTCAAGTGTATTTTTATAATTATGTTTCTCTCTTACAGACATGTACACGAATGATCAAAACAAACAGCCACACTCCAGTTTATACTTCTCAAAATAGTGTTTTAAACTGTCCTCAGTCATGAGTGACATTAAACAAAATAATAAAATTTATAATCTG